ATATATATATATATATATATATATATATATATATACATATATCCTGGCATCTTACTGCTGCTAGCATCGAACCTCTCCCCCTCCAGTCACCACGAGCCTCGGCGTGCGCTAACTCCGGCCGCTACATGGTGCCGGCCGGATCCCGCGGCCTCTTCTCGCGGTTAAATTTCGCGAACCGACACGATATAAAGGGGACACTCAGCCGCTACCAGCAAGAGTCGTCGACCGATCTCATCCGAGATCGGTTGGGGAAAATATCCCTGACGACGCCTTCCTGGTGACGAGTTGCCGATTTAACCGCCACCGCTCCCATCCTCTAGGACGAACGCTTTGCCGATTCAATCGTCGTCCTCCTTCCGTTCTCAACCTAGGACGAACGTGTTGCCGATTCAATCGTCGTCCTCTCCTTGCAACCGCGACGACCGTGTTGCCCGATTCAACCGATCGTCGCTCCTGATTTCAGAGGAACATCATTCCCAACCTAGGACGAACGTGTTGCCGATTCAATCGTCGTCCTCTCCTTGAAACCGCGACGATCGTGTTGCCCGATTCAACCGATCGTCGTTCCTGACTCCTGGGGAACGTTGTTCCCAACCTAAGACGAACGTGTCGCTAAGTCAATCGTCGTCCTCTTTTGGCATCCTACCGACGACCGTGTTGCCCGATTCAACCGATCGTAGCTCCTGATTCCATGGGAACCTCGTTCCCACCCTAGGACGAACGTGTTGCTGATTCAATCGTCGTCTTCTTTTGGCATCCTACCGACGACCGTGTTACCGATTCAATCGATCGTCGTTCTTAACTCCTGGGGAACCGCGTGTCGACACGACCGCACCTCCCCGCGATCGGGCACGCTGCCCTCGCCGCCGTCGCTCCTCGTGCCATATTCGTGGTTTCTGCACCATGACTATAGCATCTGTATATACTGTAAATACTGTTTTGTACATAACTCTTCTTGCAGACGTTCTGAATAAATCTAAGTTGTAAATATCAACCACTCTCTCTCTCTCTCGTCGTCCCTCACACGAACCCAGACTCTGGCGAGCGAAATCAGGCGATAGAAAGAAGAAACGTTACAATAGGATGCGAGTAGCGTCCGAAAATATCATACGTAAGAATGGGCACTTGCTACCGATTACCATACGCGATATCGTATGTGGCCCATCGAATTGTAGTAAGACGAATATTGGTGAGCCTGCTGGAGAGTCCACACGGCCTGCGTTTCGATAACCTGTACGTGTACTCGAAATCATTGCAACAGCCGAAATATTGCTACTTGAAGAATTTGCGTCGATAGACGAAATTGGCTTTTTTACATTTTCCAATAACATCGATGTTGTTCCGCCGAGCGAAGCGCTACCAAATTCCACTTTTGTTTTTGACGACGTGGCGTATGACAAACAAGATACGATAAGAGAATACTTTGCTATGGGTCGTCACTCGAACGTCGACTGTTTCTATCTCTGTCAGACGTACGCAAAAATACCTAAGCATCTTATACGAGATAATGTGATTCTCTTTAAGC